GGTAAAATAAAGAGCTCCCAAGACAAAAAAAAAAAAATAAAGCTAAAGGAGTTCATCACCACCAAGCCAGCATTACAAGAAATGCTAAAGGGTTTGCTGTAAGGAATTGCTGAGAAGAAGAAACAGAGAGAGAAACCTAGCCATACAGAATTGAAATGGCTATAAATAAGTACCTCTCAATAATAATCCTAAATGTAAATGAATTAAATGCTCCAATAAAAAGGTGTAGGGTAGCTGAATAGATACAAAAACATGACCCAACTAGATGCTGTCTACAAGAGACCCACCTCAAAAAAGACACACACAGGATGAAAGTGAAGGGATGGAAAAAAATTTTCCATGCAAATGGAAAAGGAAAAAAAGCTGGAGAGGCAATACTAATATCCAACAAAATAGACTTTAAATTATGCGTTAGGGAATTCCCAGGATGTTCCAAACAGGCCCACCAGGAAGATCTCAGTGACCTGTATCAAGAGGTAAGGCTGTATGTGTTTAGCTTATCGGGGAGAAAAGTTTTCTTATAATGACAAGTATAGAACCCGCAGCATGCCAGTGAAATTTTCCTCTTCTGTACAAATATAAAGGCTCTTGAAATTTTTGCTCTGGTATGTGGAAAAACAGGATAAAGGTAAAAATCAATATACAAATCTGAGCACTGATCACATGTTAACAAAGGGCATTGGGAAGGTCTAGGTTTTAGAATTAATTGGATTTTAAAATGTGTTGTTTAAGAATCAAGTTCTCTTGCCCCCTCCTCAGGGTCCTTTGAAAACAGATGCAGGCAGAGGGTGTAGCTGGCTCTGGAGGTCAGGAAAACACACTTTGGAATTCCTGAGTAGAACATGGTATAGGACCTCCACGTAGGTTAAAAATATAGCAGAAAACCCCACTCTCCCTTTCCCTTCCCCCTGCGGGATAGTGAGCAGTGATGGGAGTTTTAGTTAGCTGTTTGAATGGAGTTAGGTGCTCACTGGAATTAAAATCAATTGTCCTCTGCCCAAGAAACTTGCATATTTGTGTTTTCTGGAAGAATCTATCCGAATAATTCTTATTCCTTGTTAGCAGAAGTTTTCCTATCACTTCACTTTTAGTGGCGATTTTCAAATGTTTTTAGCCACAGAATTCTTTTTCTTCCAATTAAAATCTAGAACTACACCATCCCGTACAGCAGCCAAGAGCTACGTGTGGCCATTTGAATGAAAATGAAATCAAATACAATTTTCATCTCCTTGGCTGCGCTAGCCCCATTCCAAGTGCTCAGCAGTCTCTCCAAGTTAGCTCTTCCTGTGGTGGACGAGGCAGATGTAAGGTATTTCCATCCTTCCCGAAAGTTGTACTGCTGCCTCCATCTAGAGTGGAAGCTCCAAATGGAAGGGAAACTGCTCAGCTGAGGGGCCAGAATCATCTTCCAGATACATCTCCGGGCAAGCACCTGGGTACACAAAGCACTGTTGCCAACCTCTGGCTTAACAGACACACTCAATATCCAGGGTGACTTACTTATACTCATTGTCAACATCTCTTCCTGGCCACACACACACACACACACACACACACAAAAATATGCTATAAAGATTGAAACTGTAAAAAAAAATCATATCAGGATTTAGAAAACATGCCTTTTTATGTGTTTCAAGATCATGACCTTAGGAGGTTAGGCATTTTTTCCTAGATGAAAATGAAATCAAATACAATTTTCATCTCCTCGGCTGCGCTAGCCCCATTCCAAGTGCTCAGCAGCCTCTCCGAGTTAGCTCTTCTTGTGGTGGACAAGGCAGACGTAAGGTATTTCCCTCCTTCCCGAAAGTTGTACTGCCGCCTCCATCTAGAGTGGAAGCTCCAAATGGAAGGGAAACTGCTCAGCTGAGGGGCCAGAATCATCTTCCAGATACATCTCCGGGCAAGCACCTGGGTACACAAAGCACTGTTGCCAACCTCTGGCTTAACAGACACACTCA